TACATTTTTAATGAAATTTACTTACCCTCTGTTGTTCAAATCCAGGGCATTAATACATTAGTCTAAATATTAATAAGAAAGTGGCTTATTATAAAAGCCCAATACCTACTTAAATTATGCTGAAAATATGAAGACTTTAACTTTACAGATAAAAAAGTTATGGCATTTTGAGTATTGAGAACAGGCGCTATGTTTTTAATGAAATTTACGTACCCTCTGTTCGTCAAATCGCACACATTAATATGTTTATTGTATTATTTGCATAACAATGATTTATTATTAAAGCCAAAAACTTAATTGAAATGCGTTGCAAGTTTCAAAGCTTTAACTTTGCTGAATAAAAAGTTATCGCATTTTGAGTGTCAAAGATGTCTTTTTTCGGTCACAGAATTTTGGAAAATATTTACTAAGGCTATATAAGGAAAAATTCTGACACTAAAAATGCGATAACTTTTGTTCTACTTAAGATAGAAAGATAAAATAGGTATCAATGGAAAGGAAATACTGAGTCCTTTCTAATGATATAAGTTTCATTGATATATAACAACTTTGAAATTTTTAGTGTAGTACCTAATATCAGTATCAGTGCATTTAATATAATGTATTAATATATGGCTTTTCTGTTTACCACATCTACGGTGTCCATCATACATGTATATGCTATATAATCTATACAAGGCAACGCATTCCCTTATTACCAAAATACTCTTTGGGAACTACCGTATTTATTGGCGTATAACACTCCCCTGCATATCACACGCACCTCAATTTAAGAAGGAAATTTCAGGAAAAAAAACTAAACATTATATCGGCGTATAACACGCACACATGTTTTGCCCCTATTTGCTTGTTATACGCCAATAAATACGATACTTATTTTGAACTTTCAAATTTGGCACATGACTAATTAATTAAAGCTTTCCCTGACTTAGTTCTAGTTTAACAGTTTTAGCACACAGCAAACTTTTATGAATGAAAACTCTAAGATAGTAAGGTATAGCCGTTATCCAAGTGACTTTGAATGGCTGCCCCATGGCCATGACATGTTGCCCACAGCAAATTTTGATCATTTATAATATGGACTCTACCATGTTTTTTTTTTCACCTCAAATTAAAATATTATTCTTTCAATAACATTTTAAGTTCATTCTAAAAAAATAAATTATCAAATATTTTGATGTAAATAGTGGTAATAAATAAATATTTCCAAAGCATCAGCGTCTTCCGCCATTAATAAGGGGGCGTGGCCCCTTCCTTATCGAAATTGGGCTGAGTAACATTACCATATAGCGGTTTACTCAAATAAGCATAACAAGTGGCCGACATGTCCTAACTCAATGAGAATTGACACAAACATACATTGATAGATAATACAGAGTAAGAGTTAATATGAAAGACATAAAAGTTGAACTTCTATATACATTTTTTAGTGAAAGATGCCTTATATTTAAAGGGGAATTTCAAAATACAGGTCGGTGGAAAAATCCGAACAAATCAATGAAAATGTAGGCCAAGATGTCTACTAAGTGAAAGGCAGGAAACGGAACTCAAATACATGACAAAAGTACTCAATTATTAATAACTAGACACATACATCAAAAAATTAAAAGCTCTGATTTTTTGGCACCAATTCCCATTTCCGATACACAAAAAATAGTAGTCTCCCTTGCTTTACCTAAGTACCTACTCAGTGTCTAAGTAATTCAATTGCAAATTATGCTGAGGCCATATTGCGCTCTGCCTAACATCTGCCATAACAGCTTAAATGTATCTAACACATGGCCTTGGAAAATGGATTCCAAATCCATGGCCGAATGGGTCGCAGCCTCCAGAAAGGGTTGCAAAGAATCAAAGAGTTTTCTGATGGATCGCCAGCTGAAAACTAACATTAATGTATGATTTTATAGCAGTTTAATTTTTGAAATATGGGCCTTAAATCTATGAACCCTTGGCTCCTTGTCCTTATATCCGTGGGCTTGTGGGGAAAATTTACACAGACACACAAGCAAAATTGTGAAAATTAAAAACATTGTGATGTTTAATAAGCTGTGGTTAAATACAAGAAGCAGTTCTATTTTATATATTTCATTAATTAAAAGCCTTTTTTTTCCCCCTTTCTTTCCAGGCACAGCAATATTGGCTGTTTTACTTGCTGGCTACTTTGCTCAGATATATTTGCCTCCGCCGAAACCAAAAATTGTCGGCATAGACTTAGGTCAGTATAAAAGGAAAAATTTAATGATTATATTTACAATTTAACTTCTCAAAAGTAAGAGAACATATTTAATATTTAAAAATATGTTGATTTTAAAAACCTCTCCAGAGCATGAGAAGTTTTTACACAGAGAGGTTTTCAAAATACCATTGGGATAAGC